TGTTCCTAAAAAGGCTCACTCCATCAACCACTCTCGTTCTTTTGACAGATTGAGCTATGGCAGATATTGGTAAAGGCATGCAGCTGGGTCTGTCCTGGGCAAAGACAGGTGCCGGCAAGCTACCCGACGGTGCCATTCAGACACAGCCCGGTGTCTACGTATGTCGCGCCTGGCATGAGGGTGAACAAATCCCCGGCAAGTACGTTCCACGTTATGCGCTCGCCTACGTCCCCTATGCAGGCATGGAACATCAAATGAAAGAGTGCGAAGTTCTCTGTGACAGTAGCTGCCCCGGGCAATCTCGCTGGTAAGAAGCGTAACAGAAACCTGATTCACACTTATACCTGTACCTTTGGGCAGTCAATTAGATTGACCAGTCGACAATAAGGAGTTTACTCACGTTGCTTCTGCCATCTTGCTACTATACTATTTGGATTTATTTTTGGACAGATTACAGGCTTATCATACGTTGATATGACACCTATTTAAAGATTTCATATTTGTCTGGTAAAAAGCGAACAAGGCTTTAATCGATTTCGCAGACAAAAATGGCAAGATCAATTGCGTGCCGAACTTCTGACCCAAACGATTAGGTCATCTACCGTTAAAGAGTTTAGCTATTAAAGCAGGTTAGGGGTTCAAGTTTCAGGACTATACAATACGGGAAGATGATAGAGTATGACAGGTTGATAACCGCTAATAAGTCGAAATCGGTTATCGCAGTTTCAACTCTCTTTATGGGCTACCTGTCAGCGCGTTGTACAAGACAAATTATGACTGTCTGCGACAGAAAGTTTGCTTACAACATACATTGACAAACAGCAAAGGTTTCGTTCTTATAGATTAACATAAACACGGATTTGGGAAGCTTGGCATGCCACGAAATATAATTTGGTGGGCGAACTACGTTGGGAAAGGCTAACAACCTTTCGTGGGAATATTGGAGAATAGAGAATAGTCAGAATGTTTAACATACTGGAAAAGAATGTATAATGCCTAGTTATGTTTGGTCAATAGCAGCGTGTGTTGTTTGCTGTCTAGTTTTCATAAGTTGCTGTCTTTTCTAGCCTTTCTTGAGGTTTGTGCACATGAAATCCGATTCGACATGCCTATTTCCGTACGAGTCAGCGGAGTTACTGACCTCTAAGCAATCACAGCCTTTCCTAGATGTGCAAAAGCCTACAATGCCTCACGATCATTTCGGCGTAGGTGCTAGCGTGGGCATACCGACCTAGGCGAGGTGATCTGGTCTCGGTAACTCTAATTGATATTTCATGTAATCGCGTCG